CGCTTCAAACTCGGTACTTCTTTCCCAATTCCATAAAATTCAACATTTAGAAAGTGCCAAAAAATTTTAAAATAGGTAGTTGAAACAAACCACAGCTAATTTTCATAGTGTACTGTACTATACGATAAACATGTCAGTCAATTTGACAACCTTTGTCGGAAACATTATTCAATGAAAATATTGTCCGAACCAAACAATAACACATACTTTAACACATTGTGAACCACTTTTCTTTCACGACTATAAAAGATTTTAGCAATTTAATTCACAAAATCAATTGCGCACATTTAAAATAAAGTTTGTTTACACTTTGACAGCAATAGACTGACATGCAAGGTGACATGTCATTGAAGTTTTCAGTTACTGTTGCCATTAAAAGAAATTAGTACCATTAGTTTTCCGCAACATGGCGAGGGTTTTTATGTTCCTGGTCAGGCTATATAATGAATTGACTACTCGAACATCGCTGCGTTGTATTTATGATTACCAAACTCATTATCAAGATAAAATCGAAAATATTTTCACACCCAAAATCGAATACAGGCACAGTTAAACCATGTCATTGTGATGTTTCATTATAAACAATCAAACGTGACTTATAGGGCCAGAACTTTTACGAAAACGCATATTATGTGCGGCGAATCGACGCCATCCTGTTTATTTTTTTACCATTCCCGCGCTTCTGTCAGGTTGGTCTAACTAAGTGATAGCCGAAACTGGTTCAAGGTTTATTTGTATAATAACATTCGGTTGGAGTAACAATTACCCTTATCAAATTTTATGGTTACATACAAACTATATGAGTACTCGATCATGAAAGAATCATTATCGAAAACATGTAAACTTTTTAAAGAAACTAGCGCAACTGAAAAATAGGTGAATGTATTGAATACCCTAGAATCTAGGGTATTCAATACATTCACCTATTTTCTAATCTAGGGCCTAGATGAATGAGTGTTTAATAGTAAAATGTTTTGTTATAATTTTGAATAAGATCGTAAATAAATAATGTTTCTCTGAGAAAAAATCACACTTTAATTTTGCCATTGTCTACATGACTTCGTATTGCCACATTTCTATTTTTATTCATGTTAAAGCGAGCAAAGGCAATTTAAACCACACATGAAAAGAATCCACTTGGAAAATATCACGATCCAAGAACAATCAACGCGCCGATTGAGTCTGCCCGCGCGCCGACAAAGGTGGTGTAATACCCATCAATCTCCATCGACAGGAGACAGTTTGATTTCAAATAAAGAGTTTACTGTTCCGACAGCCTTGGGTTTTAACGCAAGAACAATCGAACGTAAAAATAGTTGGCCACCTGCGAATGATCATTCAACCGATCACATGAGGTAGCTAACTCGGTAATGTGATCGCAAGTGGGCTGAGAGTCTTCGGCATTCATAGTCAAATGTTCGGTGAGACTTTTAAGACTATTTGGTCAGATGATCTAAAAATACTTAAGGTGCATTATGTATTAGAAAAAACACAACAAGATCATCATCATCATCATTTCAGCTATAGGACGTCCACTGCTGAACATAGGCCTCCCCCAATGCTTTCCATGTTGATCGATTGGTAGCGGCCTGCGTCCACCGCTTACCTGCTACCTTTACGATGTCGTCGGTCGTCCCACGCTGCGTTTTCCGGTGCGCGGCCTCCATTCCAGAACCTTTCTGCCCCATCGGCCGTCAGTTCTGCGTACTATGTGCCCTGCCCATTGCCACTTCAGCTTGCTAATCCGTCGGGCTATGTCAGCGACTTTGGTTCGTTTACGGGTCTCTTCATTTCTGATTCGATCTCGCAAAGAAACACCAGGATGTAAACACAACAAGATGTAAACACATAATAAGACGATATCATCATGAAGTCCAAACATATCGACTTCGACGAAGGTTGTCCGGGCGGGAGCCATGACATGAAACATGAGAGTCAAGCTGACAGCTCCGCGTCTGCAGAAGAGATCTTTACCCTCTTGAAGACAAACGGTTCGTCGCCTTAAATTGGATTGATTCCATTATTTGTCGCGACCTCAGTGACCAGTATGTCGGCTCCATGTCTCTTAAATACTCTACAGATATTGCTAACATCTTACCTTCTTGAAGACAAACGGCTCGTCGCCATAAACTGGATTGATTCCATTATTCGGCGCGACTCTAGTGCGGAACTTCTTTCGCACAGTATCGGCGGGTAGTCCGAACATGTCGACCTTGACGTAGGTGCCGCAGCGTTTGTCCGTGAGCAACATAACAGCTTCGCGAGTCATAGATAAACATCTACAAACAATGTATGTGTCTTACCTTCTTGAAGACAAATGGCTCGTCGCCATAAACTGGATTTATTCCATTATTAGGCGCCACTCTAGTCCGGAACTTCTTGCGCACAGTATCGGCGGGTAGCCCGAACATGTCGACCTCAACGTAGGTGCCGCAGCGCTTGCCCCCAAGCAACATAACAGCTCCGCGAGTCATAGATAAATAAACATTTACAAACAATGTATATATCTTACTTTTTTGAAGACAAACGGCTCGTCGCCATAAACTGGATTGATTCCATTATTCGGCGCGACTCTAGTCCGGAACTTCTTGCGCACAGTATCGGCGGGTAGCCCGAACATGTCGACCTCAACGTAGGTACCACAGCGCTTGTCCGTCAGCAGCTGTCCGGACAGCACGGTGACGGACAGGGAGCCGGCGATGATGCCGTCGACTGTGCTCTCCGCGAACGGGTCTAGGCGGCGGTCCTGCAAATATTTATGTGTAAAGTTTTGTGCCAAAATTGTCCTTATTACAACTACATAAGATCCCACAGAATTTAGTTTAATGTAACATCATTTGCACAGTCAACATCACATCGGACTATGGGTAATTATTTTTAGTATAATCCTCCTCCTCCTCCGATTACGACGACTGCCTAATAATACAATGAGTTTGTAACTATTTCACCTAGTCTAAACAAAGTTATATTTTGTCATTTAAAATAAATCAAAAGGTATAAAAAATCAGTAAGAAAAATAATATTAAGCTCAAAAAAAAACATTGAACGTCAGTACTTTGTTAGTTCACTTGAAATATTTTAGACAATATCAGACATGGTTTTGTTTATTTATGTGTACACTAGCTTTTGCCCGCGGCTTCACCCGCGCGAAATTTAGTTTGTCACAGATCGTCATAAATTATAGCCTTTATTATTATTCTGGGTTATAAACAATAATATTGTAAATGTTCATCAAAATCCTTTCAGTAGTTTTTGCGTGAAAGAGTAACAAACATCCAGACAAACTTTCGCATTTATAATATTAGTAGGATTGCGCTTTACAGATGACACAAGCTATACCTTACCTTCCGTCGCATGAACTCCGGCTTGAGTAGGTACCCGCTGCGGCGGTTGTATTCAAAAGTGCCAAGGTTGAGTTGCATGGCCAGGTCTAAAGTCTGGAAGTTGAGCGCCACCAGCTGGCAGCCTGCGTTCCAGAACACCTGGACAGGGAAAAAATAGTTTTTTAACTGTAATAAAGCCAAATCACATTGAAAATGTATATCAGGATTTTAAAATAAAGGCTCCGATACACAATTCATTCGTTAGTGTCAGCCAAATGACGTCGCCTGCTGGACAAAGGCCACCCCCAAGGATTTCCACAAAGACCGGTCCTGCGCCGCCCGCATCCAGGCACCTCCCGCGACCTTAATCAGATCGTCGGTCCACCTAGTGGGAGGCCTGTCCACACTACGTCATCCGGCTCGTGGTCGCCACTCGAGGACTTTTCTGCCCCAATACACAATAACATATTATTTTGCAAGCCCACTACTATCGCCAAGACCCAAGTGGTGGCTTACAGTTGCGGATAGTAAGAGCGCTTTCACATTAAGGCGATTTAGCAGCGCGACAAACGCGCGACAGTCGCGAAAATTTCATACTATATGACAGTGGATGCATGCCTTCACATTATGAAAAAGCCGCTGCCGCGCAGCAGTCACGCTTCTAACGCCCTATTGTGAAAGCGCTCTAAAGCATAGCCTAAAACAGACCAGTTTGTGTACTGGAGGTTTCAAATAATGGGAAAATTCAATCTCTCTCTATTGCCATACTGTATTCACAAAATTGCCGAAGTCTACTGGCTTAATTTTACGTATGGATTAATGTTAGTTGGATCTTACCTGTGGCATGAAATTAGAAGAGTCGAACCTCGTCCCAGCGGGGTACACTCGCGATAGCTGATGCTTATTGTAGTTGACGAACTCGATTGGCCGCTCCTTTAGCAACGTCGTCGCTTGCTTCTCGTCAAACGACGACATCTCGTAGAAACGGTTCTTTTCTGAGATTGAAAAAGAGATAATGTATTGTAGGAAGGGAAATTCCGACATCAATAAACAACAAAGACAGCGCAATCCCAGTGACCACCATAAATCGTTGTTATATTATTATTATCTATATGTTTTCATACGAGTATTGCGGTCCTATCACCGCGGCAGTTCCGACGAAATTCGCTTCAGAATTGCTTGATTTTTGCTTTGGTGAATGTATGAACAGCACTATGTTCATACATTTACCAAGGCAAAGATGAGGATAGATGTGCGGAGACGAATGCAGATAGATTATTTCCAATAGTTTTCACTTAAACTGAGCGGACATCTAAACAATGAAATTGTTTTGTTTGCTTAAAGACATATTATTTCTACTGGTGGAAAATAGACCATAATGGGGTAATTAACGCGAAATTAAATACAGTTTTTTTATATTGTTACTTACTCTCAGCGCTCTCGAAAGAGCTAAAGTGCATGGGCTGCACGTAGTTTACGAGCGCGGATATCTCTGCGCCCGCATGCGTCTTTCGAGCCTCGCCAAGTTGGTCCTTATGACGGTCGCAATATGGACTAGTTTGGGATGCACTAATCTTAGCACTGGTACTCACTCTCGGCACTCTCGAAGGAGCTAAAGTGCACGGGCTGCACGTAGTTAACGAGCTCACCAATTGTTCCTTATGACGCTCGCAATATGGACTAGTTTGGGATGCACTAGTCTTAGCACTGGTACTCACTCTCGGCGCTCTCGAAGGAGCTAAAGTGCACGGGCTGCACGTAGTTCACGAGCGCGGATATCTCAGCGACCGCGTGCGTCTCGGTTGGCTGACGAATTGTTCCTTATGACGCTCGCAATATGGACTAGTTTGGGATGCACTAGTCTTAGCACTGGTACTCACTCTCAGCACTCTCGAAGGAGCTAAAGTGCACGGGCTGCACGTAGTTCACGAGCGCGGATATCTCAGCGCCCGCGTGCGTCTCCCGTGGTTCATCTGCCTCCCCTCCCCCCGCTTCCTCCTCCCCCGACGAACTGTCCGAGTCGGATGACGACGAAGAATCTTTGGAGCCTTGTCGCGCCAACTGTATACAAAAAGAACGATTACCAGTTTGTTTTTACACTTTTCTTTGTTTTACGGAATTTAAGCTATGTTCGCGTCGCTCGCGTTTTTTGGGATATGTCCAGAATAAAACTAGCCAAGTGCGAGTCGGACTCGCGCACCGAGGGTTCCGTTTAAACTTGTAGGTGCTGTACTAAAAAGGCCCATAGGACCTTTTGAGAAATGGTGCAGCAGTGTCAGACCAATGAATTTTTTATTGAAATGGGCTATGTTGATCAGTAAAACATGTTCGTGAGCAAATAAATATTTGATTTAATATGACCGCAAGGGCTGCTACTGCAGATGACTGTGTTTTATGAGATGAATTAAACTAGATTGCTTTCATTCAATCTAGACAAAATATATTTCATCATAGCTTTCTCGGTAAACAAAGAGATCAGACTGATATAAGTTTTCTGTTTTGGATTACTTTCAAGTAGGTTAAACCAGGCCTGTTTATCTCCGCGAGTTTACATCGAAAACAAAACAAGCACGATGGCACCCTACAGGATTACTATTCGACAAGGCCTCACATACGAGCGAGCATTGACTCACGCACGCGTATTCTTGTGTATGATGGAAAAAAATAAAGAAAATGGTGTACTAAATACTGTGCACTATTTAACTGCCTTAATATTAATAAAAACACAGAATGTACTTTTTATAAGTTGTCTGAAGATACTGAGAGGTAAATAAGTGGTTAATATTATTCATGATAATTCATGCTTAATCATGTATTTCCTCCGCCATTTTTTCTGCAGTTTGGCACCTCACGTCACATCATTTTACCCAAGTCAGCCCTATGGCTTCAGCGCAGTACCGATCACTGACGTTTGTCAACAAAATGGTGCTTGACTCTTGAGACAAGCTAAATTACACACCATATTGTTAATGATATTGAGCATACATTTTTTTAAATACCTTCGCGAAGTAAACCTTCTGTACGTAGTACTTATTATTATTCTGTGGTTAAACTACATTAGTTAGAGAAGACACCTACCGTCCCATGCGATATCTCTCCATTGCCTTGAGGCGGTTCTGGTTGGGGCTCGCTTTCTTCCGACGCGATGGAGTCTTCCTTTTTATGATGATGGTGATGTTTTTTCTTATTCTTGATAATAATCTTGTTCCGTAGTAGCGATGGCGGGGGCAGCTCCCCTCCTTTGAAAAAGAATTACAGTTTATTCAAACATGGTGTCCACTTAATTGTAAACTAGTACTTATTTCGATACGAAACAGGACCGGTCGTTGTGGAAGTCCTCGGGCAAAACCTTTGTCCAGCAGTGGACGTCATTTGGCTGAAACAAACGAACCTATTTCATAAGCCATAATGACGATCTTAGAAATGTTTAAAATAGTTAAATAATACTCTAAGGAATGCAAAAATGTACGCCTATAACATTATACAGAGCCAAGTAAAAATAATCGCACGTTGAAAAAGAAAGTGAACATTTTAATACAACAATATTTTTCAAACTCCACATAACATCTGCTCATTATTCAAAAACTTGTCCCGCGATAACGCCGATTAGTTTCGCGTTTGTTATGGATAACCGCTAATGGTACTGTGTTTACTGAATCCCTCGACGCATGATTTTTACATTGAAAACAAACACGTGCGTACGCGCAACTCCGCTAACAATAACTGTTTTAGTATAAAGACTGTGTATAATAAAATATTTTCTTTACTACACTTCTTATACGTTAAACAGGTATTTTACGAGATTTATTACTTGCGTTTCGTCGTTTAGCTTTGCTTTAAATATTTATAATGCCTAGAAACCGAGTTAGCGCAAGAAATGTAACTGGACCACAGGCTTAGTTTTTTTTCTATGCGTTCTAACAGTCAAATCTTGTTTATTGCTGATCGATTCATTTACAAAGGAGACAATGATCTACAAAGACTTCGTAAAAAATATTTAAATTCCAAGATCTATGCTGAAAATTTGAGGAAGTTTGCATCTTATTTCTCTCCTCAAACTATACTGAGTAGTTTATTATCATAGTGAAAATACAGCGGACCGTCTCGGGGCTATTGGTGTTAGGCCAAAGCAAACAATACAGGTGCTAGACGAGGATATTCCATAGCTATAGAACAACAGCCATATCAGGTTGCCTCATGCTAGAGTGTCTTAGGATTCTTTCTGCAAAATATCTATACTAATATTATCTAAAACGGTAAAACGGTGTTGTAGCTGCATGTTAACAAATGTGACGAATCACAAATGAATGTGATACATGAAGAACAAGTGTGCAATGCAATTTTCATAAAATTGGCTGGCTGTTTGATTCGTGCTGTGGTTCGTTGCTAGTGGGTTATTGAACGCGCGACCGTCAGCGAGAGGAAACACAGATGATTTATATTCATCGTCATCGCGACCCTGAGAATATGTTTTTGATTTATCTTAATCTGCGCGAAATCGATTGTTTCGTGAAAATATCAGATAAGCACATTTCACGATAAGCCACACGCCATCAGGTTGGAATTAGAAACTATACTATTTTGAAATTTCTTGGCGAGTTACGGACACGAACTATTCAACTCTGATATTATGCCTAGCCTATTATCGCGTTCACACCGCTTAAAACACACGGAAAAAAATATAATGTGGCGAGCTACTAGGACTAATTTAGAGTGAACTATTTACAATGCATAGTAATATTTATTTTTGCACAAAAGCATTTTTCAGTGATCATGGTGCATAGGAATGCGCCGAAACGTCGAAGTCTCGTCAAAAAAGTATGGTAGACATCGCGTTACTTTTATCAATTTTGGACATAATCAGTACTTCAAATAAAAGTAGCGTTTTATAATCAACAGTAGTATAGTTATGCTTTTAAATAGTGGCAGAATTGATTCCACCATTTTTTGAACTTCGGTAGGAAAACATAGGTTTAAATCAATGAAAAATATTGTTCGTTGTACCAGTTAACAGTAAAAAGCCTAGGACGTCCACCCACAAGGTGGAACGACGACCTCATAAAGGTAGCTGGATGCAGTCCGCTACCCAACGGTTATTATGGAAATTATTGGGGGAGGCCTATGTTCAGCATACCAAATTCAAATTTTTCATTTGGGCATTAAGGCAATCTTAAAGGTATACGGTAAAACATGTGGTAAATTACATTATCACTGCCTCATTAAGGGTTAAAGGGTTAAGGTGTTACCTGGTTCCAGTTGGTGCGAGTCCAGAGGCCTGTCTAGCAACATGCTCCCGAATATGTCCCTGCAGTAGTTGGCTATCTTGGCCTGCTGCCGCGGGTTGCAATGGTTCTCGAAACTCAGCACCACAGGGTAGTCCGAAGTCTTGAAGGCGCTTTCGGCGATGGCTTCCAAGACTTCTTTTGCGCTGATCTCAGGCACGAAGGTGTAGCCGTGGACGATCACCGGCTCTTCTGTTCGCCCGTTCCAGAAGTCTAGTTCGACGCATCTGATTGGGAGGAAAAATAAATGTTAATCATTTTATATTAATGTATATTTATTGCCATCAGGGTCACATAAAACTAGCAATCAAAATACTATAAGTTGGAACGACACAATTTAGGCTATGACATTTTTATGGTTTTGTTTTCATTTGATAGATATCAAGATTCGTACATTTCTCTTTAATCAGTATATCAGACCCTCACAAATGTCTATTTATCTGTAGATTCCCAAACCTCAACTAAAACTTTATAAATAAAAGGATGAACATTTGGCCAGACGATATATTATTATCTCAAAAATTATTCATTTTGTTAAACTGCACACACAAGGTGCAAAATAATCCGACTAAGAAACAACATAACTAACTCCGTACAGAACAAAATACTGCTCATTCGAGTATAAGTGAATATTAAATTCTATTGAACATTCCATGAACATAACTCAAAAGGTTAATTTTATGCAAGTCTTGACAGTAATAGACAATAATGACATGAAATCCATACGTATCTCTAAGCGACTCGGCCAGAGCGCTAGTATGTATATTGTTTATGTCCCGTAAACATCGCAAAGTACGGTCTGCATTAATTCTGTACATCAAAGGGATAGTACCGAGAAACAAGTGGCATTCCAATATCCAATAGTTCCAGTACCTATTGACAGCTCAATTACAGTTGAATATTTTAGGATTTAACAAGAGCCGCCGACTTGTTATAGATTAAATAATTATCTTGTTCAATCTGTACTCATTATCATAAATTACGCCGTAAAATCTGCATTTTGCAAAAATATTACTGATCTCTAATTTTAACGAAATAGCAAAATAGCAGTAGAGTAGGCCCGATCAATAATGCAGTGTTAAGTGCCAGATTTTAGCAAATATATTAGCCTACCCAATAGCCAGCTACTAAATTACGAAGACAATAAACACAACAAGCGCACACATTTACCCACGACTCCCGGCCTTAGACCTGTCACAAAAAGTCAGCTGCATTTTTCTAGAACATTTCCAATAATATTAAGAGAGTAACTCTATGAGATACGAGTAGGTACTATGGCCAATGGCCATGTATGCAAAGTACTCCTGGGACAAACTTAGTCTACACTGGTTGAGTTTTTGTTGGGCTACTGGCACAGGAGTTACACCGCTGCGTACGAGAGAGGTGGGAATACTCCTGTTTTAATTCTAATTTTTAAATAATCAACGCATTGCCGATTGGTGATTTACATATAAAATATCCGTTTATATTGTGAACAACCTTTCTGCTTTTTCCTATTTTGTGTCGATACCGATAAGCGATAACGCTGTCGATACTGCGTTAATTGGTGAAACTATTAAAACACCATCATAGAGGTGTGGAGATTTCCTGGTTTAATTAATTCGATAACAATCTCATTAGTGCAACAGTGTGATAGCGTCGACACTTCCCGCAGAGCGCACTGCGGTGTGAGGCCACTTACCGCTGATTAAAACTGAAATGAGTTATTTATTTGCTGGGAGCTTTTAAAGGCTGGCCGAAATTAAATGCTTGTTCATCATTTAATGCGCTGTTTTCTGTTCAGTCGGTCAGTGTATGTATACGTATAGTACCAAATGAGACATTAACATTTGTAGAATTCCATAGAGCCAGAAGCAAAAATAATGCGCGTGTTTTTAATCTCGAAGGACTTTATGTGAAGGTGTTCTTAGTGAACTCCATAATCTACAACAGTACGTATGTGTAAAACATTTCTACATACTCATAGGAGGCTAAAGAGAGGTTCTCTGCCCATTTCAGTTCATGTCAACATCTTAAATCATGTAAATTTCTCAAAAAACTCAACTTCCTGGAATGTAAAATTTAAAGAAAGATAAGACAATTTCTCATAATGTCGATTTCTCACAATGACTTAGTATTTCGTCGTAACTTCTTAGAGTAGGCGCACACCGTTGATTTTTCGTCGGCCGATAGTTTAGTCGGGCAGTTGATCAGTATGGGCTGGGCATGTATGGGAGTGCGCACACTACGCCGATTCGATTTGGCCGATTCTTCATACAAATTAAAATCGGGCACAACTATCGGCCAACTAAAAATCAACGGTGTGCGCCTACTGTTAGTGAGAAGCTGCACGCACCGCAAACATTTTGCCGCATCACTGTACACTCACTGTATGCGGCGCCGCAATACGGCACCGTCTCGCTCAATCGAAGTGCGGTGTGCCTGCGGTGCGGCGCCGGAACGCACCGTCTGGCATATTATTGATTTTTATATGCAGGACGCCGCAGCGAAATCGCTCCGGCGCCGACATGGTGGGGTGCCGAAGCCACATGGCTTCTAGAGGGTATCAAAATACTATCAAAACATAAACCAACCTGCAGCCAGCTAAAAGACTCTGCCTGTATATCTCCACACTGGATTTGCCGGTGATCTGATGGCCGGTGAGGTAGGTATTATGCGAACTGTTGATGAAGTAGTGCGCTAGTGGTTGTTCCATGTCGTCGCAAAGATCCAGCTTGTTCGGCGCGACGATTGGGTTGTCTTCTGACATTAGAAACCTGAAAGAGAAGAACGCAATTAATGTCATGTTTCACTGCTGTAAAGTCCTGTCACTTACAAGTGGTTGAGAATGTTGAGATAGTGAGCTGTAAGGTAGCTCTCATTAAACATATTGTTAGACCAAACAATGTTATAGAAACTTTTTTTTATTATATTACTAGCTGACCCGGCGAACTTTGTTCCGCCTTAATGGCAATAAATAAGCAGACTTTTTTTTAATTTCGAACGGGATAAAAAGTATCCTATGTCCTTCTCCTGGCTCTAAACTACCTCCCTGACAATTTTCAGCTAAATCGGTTCAGCCGTTCTTGAGTTATAAGCGAAGTAACTAACACGACTTTCTTTTATATATATAGATTCACTTCACAGAGCAATAATTGCTCTATCGACTCATCGGTGCATCGAACTGCTATAGGACTTTTTGATCATCCACTATGCAGGGTGATATTGTAATAAGTATCCAAATTTTTAGGAGCGACTCAGCATCAGTAACTTAATCGATTTACGTAAAAAAAACATTTTGGCCTTCTGGATGTCGGCGTACGGGTGCTGGATCTCGTTCAGTCGCGGGTTCCATTTGATGTCTTTGAGAAACTCCAGTTGGGTAGTGCTAGAATATACACCTTATGTTATTAGCAAGAAAGTCCACTTTCCACTGACCTCAAGAACCCGTCAAAGGTGAGCTGCGAGCGCTGCTGGTGGTACTTGTTGTGCTCATACGCCTTGATGAGGTCCTTGGCCTTCTGGATGTCGGCGTAAGGGTGGAGGATTTCGTTCAGGCGTGGATCCCGTTGGATGTCGTTTAGGAATTCCACCAGTTGTGTAGCTGATAGGTAGGGCTTGCCGTCCGTTCTAAGAAAGAAAAAAGCTTTTAGATTAACGCATGAGCAAGTTTGGTAAGACCTAACTCATTGTTTTGCCCAAATAACCTTTAGTAGCATAATATGGAGCTCTCCCCGCCAGAAGAGCATGGCCTAACCACTAAACCCCGATGATGTCCTCCGGAGCCCAATGGAGCTGCAAGTTATTGTTGTGCTTGCCATTTGTATCTTGACCTGTACCTTTTAGGCGACAATAGGCCAACGATTAAAGCTAAGCGTCCACTTGTTGGCATCGTACGCAACGGACGCATCGTACAAAACACATCGTATTGGATGTGCGATGCGTACGATGCGGACAGGTGGACGCACTTATATGAGTTTCTATATAAATAATACTACGATCCGTTGCGTGCGATACCGACATGTGGACGCTACCCTTAAAGGATCGGTATTTGGATTCGATCCCTGTCGTCCACTGGACTGTTGTAGTACCTTCTCCTAAGCATTATGCTCGACTAGGGTTTCTGCTCGAGCTTTCTCGAACTCGAGAAAACTCGAGAAATTTGGCTTCATTCGAGACGAGAAAAAAATTACCGGAGCTCGAGAATTCTCGAGTTTCGATTTTGAAGCTTTAATATTCTTGAAAGNTTTTGAAGTCGGTTGAAAAGAGGCTCTCTGCCCATTTCAGTTCATGTCAACATCTCAAATCACCTAAATTTCTCAAAAAACTCAACTTCCTGAAATGTTGTGAACATGTGAACAATGTCTCATAATGTCGATTTCTCACAATGACTTTGGATTTGGTCGTAACTTCTTAGATGGTATCATAATACTATGTGTAGACATTATCACCAAGATAGTTGATCAACTAAGTCACTAATTTCCTTAGAGGTGGGAGCTATAGAGGCCTGTAATATGGGTATCTACGGAAACCTATCTCAAGCTCCAGTCTCTCACACACAGGGTAACATAATTTAAAAAAAATATATTATCTAACTAAATATATTATAAAAGGAGAAACTGACTGACTGACAGACCAACGCACAGCCTAAACGGCTAAACGTAGGCACTTGAAATTTGGAAGGGACGTAGCTGAGGTACCGTAGAGGTGCACTAAGAAAGGAGTTCCCGAAATTCCCACGGGAACGGGTTAATAGCGGGAAGATCCTTTTGTATGAAAAATCTAAACCGCTTAAGTTAGACGCTTGAAATTTGGCATGCAGGTACCTTAGTAAACTTAAAGCTTAGTTACAACAGGATATTGCAAAATTCCCACGGAAACGGGAGTTAGCGGGAAAAAACATTTGTATGAAAAAATCTAAAGAAGAGGGTAAAACGGGATCCACGCGTACAAAGTCGCGGGCGGCCGCTAGTTGTACTATCAAAACAAACAAACCTGCAGCCAGCTAAAAGGCTCTGCCTGTATATCTCCACACTGGATTTGCCGGTGATCTGATGGCCGGTGAGGTAGGTATTATGCGAACTGTTGATGAAGTAATGCGCTAGTGGTTGTTCCATGTCGTCGCAAAGATCCAGCTTGTTCGGCGCGACGATTGGGTTGTCTTCTGACATTAGAAACCTGTAAGAGAAGAACGCAATTAATGTCATGTTTCACTGCTGTAAAGTCCTGTCACTTACAAGTGGTTGAGATAGTGAGCTGTAAGGTAACCCTCATTAAACATAATATTGTTAGACCAAACAATGTTGTAGAAATAGCTATAGAGATAGGCTATAGAGATAGTTGTAAGCCACTCTTCAAAAAATTAAAAATATTGCCATTGCCATGTTTATATATCAAGGAATTATGCCTATTTGTAAAAAAACATCCTGATAATTTTAAGACGCATGAACAGGTATTAGAAAAGACTACTCGCCACAAGAACNGATTTGTATTTGTATTAAAAAGATTAAAATACGTTTCAAACAATGAAGCAATGATGTCGGCATATTACGGTTATGTCTCCTCTATACTAAATTATGGAATTATTCTCTGGGGGAACTCTGTTGATTCCGAAAAAGTATTTAAAATACAAAAAAAATGCATGCGTGCGATGTGTGGGGCAGGCTATAGAGATAGTTGTAAGCCACTCTTCAAAAAATTAAAAATATTGCCATTGCCATGTTTATATATCAAGGAATTATGCCTATTTGTAAAAAAACATCCTGATAATTTTAAGACGCATGAACAGGTATTAGAAAAGACTACTCGCCACAAGAACAGATTGTATTTGCCCAAAATTAATTTAACGTTATATAAAAGAAATGTATTTTGTATGGCTATAAGAGTTTTCAATAAACTGCCAGCTTATATACAGGGAGCTTCTATGCCTGAATTTAGAAATGTATTGCACAAGTGGCTGCTCGATAAATGTTTCTACTCTGTAAATGAGTTTTTTTAGAATTAAATAATTGTGAAATTTTATGTATTAATATTGGTTGTGTGTTATTTTATGTAATTGACATTTAATTGTAATGATTAGTATAATTGGATTGTTGACATTGTTATGATTTTATCAAATGACTTTTCATAAGATTATTAATATTTTGACATGTTCTCCTAATTAACTTTCACATGCCAGTCATGGCAAGGTACACTGTAACGAAATTGATTATTTACAAACATCTAATGGACGTGTATTTCTGTGAATAAATGAATTTGAATTTGAATTTGAAACTTTTTTTTATTATGATATTCACTTCACAGAGCAATTGCTCTATCGAGTCATCAGTGCATCGAAATACTATAGGACTTTTTGATCGTGCACTATGCAGGGTGATTTTGTAATCAGTATCCAAATTTTTAGAAGCGACTCAGCATCAGTAATTTAATCGATTTACGTAAAAAAAAACATAATTATTTTCCTTCTGGATGTCGGCGTACGGGTGCTGGATCTCGTTCAGTCGCGGGTTCCATTTGATGTCTTTGAGAAACTCCAGCTGGGTAGTGCTAGAATATACACCTTATGTTATTAGCAAGAAAGTCCACTTTCCACTGACCTAAAGAACCCGTCAAAGGTGAGTTGCGAGCGCTGCTGGTGGTACTCGTTGTGCTCATACGCCTTGATGAGGTCCTTGGCTTTCTGGATGTCGGCGTACGGGTGCAGGATCTCATTCAGCCGAGAGGCCCTTTAGATGTCTTTGAGGAACTCCAGTTGGGTAGTGCTAGAATATACACCTTATGTTATTAGCAAGAAAGTCCACTTTCCACTGACCTCAAGAACCCGTCAAAGGTGAGCTGCGAGCGCTGCTGGTGGTACTTGTTATGCTCATACGCCTTGATGAGATCCTTAGCTTTCTGGATGTCGGCGTACGGGTGGAGGATTTCGTTCAGGCGTGGATCCCGTTGGATGTCGTTTAGGAATTCCACCAGTTGGGTAGCTGACAGGTAGGGCTTGCCGTCCGTTCTAAGGAAGAAAAAAGCTTATAGATGCATGAGCAAGTTTGGTAAGACCTAACTCATTGTTTTTCCCAAATAACCTTTAGTAGCATAATATGGAGCTCTCCCCGCCAGAAGAGCATGGCCTAACCACTAAACCCCGACGATGTCATCCGGAGCCCAATGGAGCTGCAAGTTATTGTTGTGCTTACCATTTGTATCTTGACCTGTACCTTTTAGGCGACAATAGGCCAACGATTAAAGCTAAGCGTCCACTTGTTGGCATCGTACGCAACGGACGCATCCAATACGATGTGTTTTGTACGATGCGTCCGTTGTGTACGATGCCAACAAGTGGACGCACTTATATGAGTTTCTATATAAATAATACTACGATCCGTTGCGTGCGATACCGACATGTGGACGCTACCCTTAAAGGATCGGTATTTGGATTCGATCCCTGTCGTCCACTGGACTGTTGTAGTACCTTCTCCTAAGCATTATGCTCGACTTAACAAAAGCACATACAAACTGAATTTATGAAATATGTGTATTAGATTATTCATGTCCAAATTACTAACAAAACATATTAATAAATCTGTAAATAACAACGTTCCCTCGGTCATTTAAAAATATCAGTCGTGAATACCTACACCTATATCGCAGCGATTAATTCTCAATGTATTGAAAAACCTAGCGTTCATCCCAATAACCTAGTTGCGAACATTTGTATGCCTACTCGCGCCGGCGATCGCTCACAATTGAAAACCCGAGATTCCCTCGCATTTTTTTTTTTGCATTGATTTAGTTTCAATGGTTTTGCATGTCAAACGAGCCGGGGCCCGTACAGGCACGCTCGTTAATAGAGATTCCGCCCGCTGCAATGAAAAATAAAGAGCACGAGCAAACAAACACGTATCCAATACATTTTATTTTGCGACCCGCCTAGTGAGGCAGCGGCAATTAAACTCGGATTTGTTTTAACGCTGATGGACATTTATTGCTCCGAGGTAAATAATGTAAACATTTTAGATTAAAAAATATTGTTATCGCCTTTTGTGTACGTTGTTAGCGCTGGCGCTGGTAACTATGTTGATTCATAGTCAAAACAAAGATAATATGTTCATAGTTATTCAATTTCAATTTGTATTGAGCAAACACAGGATACCTTGGTATCTCATATTTTGTGACAAAAAACAAATCCATATTTTGTACTAGCGTGAAGTTGTAAATATTTGAAGCTCGGTGAATAAAGGCTTCGAGTAAATTGGTTCCATGTATTGGCTTGTATGCAATTTTTAAAGTATGAACGCCGTTGTTACCTCAGCGGTATTCTCCCACAGTAAAGTGCTGTACAACAAACAGATATAATGCATACTTAACTACTGGCTGTTAAAAGTTCTAGGGGATAGATCTGGATATTTATTAAACTTGAAAAAGAAAATAAATTTAAAATATATGTACCTTGAAATTCGCGTGGGATGCAGACAGCAGCAACCGTTCCGTAATGAACGAGGGTCGGATTGGTGATTTTTTAACGTTTTTAAATGACAGTGAACTTTATTCTCTTCTATTTAGGTATGTAAGTAATTAAGTATATTTTTTCCTTAAAAAATTAAATTAATTATGAAATGCTCGAAAGAATAAAGTGAATCAGAAAATCCATTTTGGGGCTTAACCTGGCTGGGAGACAAAAATGTTTAATTTATTTGTTGCAATATATTTTACTTGTCACTTTGATTGCTTTACTGCAGTCAACAAAGAGATTTAGGTTAGTATTTAAATGAAATAAAAACATAAACGTGCATGTAGACATTTCAGCACAATGAGTGTTCTTTTAAAAAAGATGTAGGTATTTATAATTAGGTACTTAAAGTGTCTTATAATTTTTCGGAATTACACCTGGCAGACAAACGCCCGTATTCACAAACATTACTAGGAGGTCTCACAGTGCGCTTGGACGCTCAGGGTGACATACGACCCAATTACAGAGCTCTATTCAACGCTATGCGTTTGATTTGCTGCTTCACTTAAGCAAGCATCCTTTGTGAATACGGGCGAAAGACAACAAACTAAATCTGTAGTAAAAAGTTTTGACTTACAATGTATTGAATATCTTCTGCACCTCGCCGCGCTGCGTGAGACTCTTATAAAACGAGAAGAAGTCTTCGAATTGGAACTTGGACTGCGAAATGGTATCGTTCTTGCCCGTGGGAAGGCCGGACTCGCTAAGCGCCTTCTCCACTCGCTTCTTATCCTCCTTGTTCTGTGCGAAGAGTCGCACGATGCTAGAATAGGAAACCGTTCGTTAGTACTTTTAGCGTTCAAAGATACTTAAATGTTTGAAAAGGTTTTACGTAACATAAAGGAACTCTAGTGTGTTTTGCCAGGGCAAGCTGTGGCGTCGGTTGAATCTTAGGGTGTTTCTCAGAATGAATGATACAAAATAGCGCATTTACGATATTATTAAACAAGGTTTAGAACTAGATTCAAGCATAGATTCAAAGTCAAGGTTAGATTCAAAGTCAAGCTAAGATTCAAACCCTGTGATTGGTTGAATTTTAATATTTTAACCATGCAACTCTATGGTAGAGTTCAACCATGCATCCCTGAAGTTTGAAAGTTTTTGGCGCCGTTTCATAACTCGATCCTAAATCTTCACACAAAAATACTGGGAGTCAACGGCCCAGAAACTGAGAACTACCGTACATAAACGTACATTGAGTATGGTAAGTTAATACGACGCTATGACGCAAATGTCGCTATATGACAAGAAAAATAATTACATGTCTATTAAATTATAATACGCGTATTAGTAATTGTCGCAATGCAATTAATTGATTTAACAATGAGCAATCGATACATAGTGGGAAGAGTAACCGCACTGTTATAAAGCATTATGCAGATTCCATATTTTATAACCAACTAAATAAATACATATTGCACCTAGCCCATGGAAAGAAGCATAATGTAAACCCAGACGCACTTGCCAGTGTTGTTCCTGACGAATTTAGGGTTGCCGTATTCTAATTCTAAAATTGCCGGATTTTTAAGGAAAACTAAGAAAATTGCCGTATTGTATAAAATGTTTATTTGGAAGGTTTAAATTAAAAAAAATACAAGTGATGTATTATGTATTATGCGTATACTACTTTTAAACTTACTTATTTTATTCTTCACTTTTTAAGGTTTTGAATAATTTAGTCCAAGAACCTACCCGAATAAAAGTGAAGAATCTACCAAAATAAGGAAATAACGATTTTAGACATTAAAATCTCGGAGATATGGTTGCATTTTTGGCGTTTCTTTTCGTGGCGCTTCTACTTCATTTATGGTTTACAAGTTTTTGCGTTCCATTAGACGAAATATTTATTTTTTGTTTACTAAAACTCATGAAAAACTCTACTTTACTCAATTGCCGTATATTTTGATACGGTAATCAAAGTGCTGCCGTATACCGTATTTATGGTGCCTAAGATGTCTGAATGCCGTATATTACGGCAATTGCCGTATCAAGAACAACACTGGCACTTGCTGACTTATGGGAGAATTGCGAGACGCCCTTGTCCAGTAAGATTTCTAGAGGCTAGGTAATGATGATGATGATGATGATGAATTGCCCCAACGGGCACACTGAACACCAGAGTCGTTCCCTTCGTCACCATGGGACACGGCATATACTGAATGGGGTCCCGTTGCAGTCATCTTGTTTGTGAATGGGTGGCACTGCTCAGTTTACTCTTGTTTTTATTTTTTCTTCCTTTATAATGTGCCACTGTCATGTCTATGTAATTGCCTGTATTTGTGTGATGTCCATTGTAATAAATGTATCTTTCTTTCAAATGTTTGAATACATAAATTAAGTTCCCTAATGCAAAATAATTATTGCCAAAAATCGATAGGCAATTCAATTAATCTAAAAACTTCAGCAAATAATAGCGCCAGGTACTTTAACTCCTTGACCATAAGAGTTCCATGTCATTGGCTAAAAGTGGTGCTATCTGGGTGCTTCCGACACTTGATGGCGTATCGTGCAAGTTATCAGGATATAATTGATTTGGCAGCGGTCCACCCAACTAATGCCGTACGTTTGAATCCGATTACAACGTTACGCCGACTGGGCCCGATACGTTTAGGGACGCTCCGGTAGAGTCGAAAAACTGTGCATTTCAAGTCCTAAATCCGCTTCAAGGAAGTTCTCTACTATCTACCTAGTAAACAAATATCTTTTAAAAATACCAGCATCATCAAAAATTATAATATGCTTTCGAAAGTCAATATTATGCTATTAATGTTATTTGCTCATGATCTTGCATTTAAAACAAAAGCCTGCCTCAACACGTTTCACAATGTTTGACCTGCCAGAACTTCAAACTTCCATGACCTCTGGCTGGCGTATGCCGTAGTGCGTCTGTAGCGCGAGCGCAGCGTAAAATTTCACTCATACGATTGGCGAAAATTCTTACTATGACGGTTGTAGTCAAAAGCCTGAATTCTTGACTCTATACCGGCCTTGGTTCATATTATGTTCCTTTATATCAAACCAAGGTTCTTTCATACTTATTCCGTTTTCGACAAACAAGCAATATATCGATCGGTTTAACTTTTCCAACTTATATTAACCACTTTGACATTTGACTTTGATTTAGGATGTAACATGCAGTAAAATCTTGTACAGTAATCGGTTGTTGCAATTTGTCCATGATTTAGGAATGTCATAATACCGTATATTGATTTAGCGGTTTCGAAAAGGCTCCTTGAAATAGTCGCATCACACTTGACTGAATACTAAGCCAATAATAAACTTATAGATCTTTCTTAAAGCGTTAAAATTACCGATAATCAACATCTCTTCATATCATAAGTACGATAATAAACAACCATCTAACAACACTAATAATATTTTTATGCTCATAACTTCACACTATCTATTTTGATTGCCCGCTACTCTTTAGCGCTGCCGAGCACTTGATATGGCTATAAAAACCACGCAACGTGTTATTCTTTCATAATACAGATTACGTTTGGGATATTAATAGGAGCAATATAATTAGATTTTTAATATTATAAACGTAATGGATAATTTTACAACGAATTTTATATTCTAGTACTTATAAAAATCGTGGGTCTAGCTTGCTCGCTTTCCAAGATCAGTGAATTCCCATGTAATCGACTGAAAAGTCAGGCCAAGATTAGGTAAAAACTGACATATTATATTTATATACATATTACTGTAAGTCTTACATTTTTTGGTACTGAACAAAAACGATTTTTCTGTCTTTCTTACAAGAATCACCTAATCGACAAATAAACTGGTCAGAAACGTTAAAAGCCTTTGCCTAGCCAAATATTGACTTTAAGTTCATATTTGATCATGACCTCACTCAGATGTAAGATTCTAAATTTGCTCTGCCCAGTCACATTCGAAACGTTTGATCATGATCTGTCACAGACTACATTTGTTGCTAGATTCTAATTTCATTGGCTAGCCGCATCGAAACCAGGCTCTTTAAAGCAGAATATAGACTGAAGGTCGTCAATACATAACTGACGGTCTGACATATAAATATGCTTAACTAAGGGAATGCCATAAACAAATAGAGTCATGGCCATAAATTACAACCAGTCAAACGGTGGCCCTCTACAAAATCTGAGAGGAAATAAACAAACAATACTCTGCTCAACAGATAATAAGGTAAATGTTTGGCGTGGATCAACATCACAAGACTTCACACGGTTCTGTCTTGGGCTCTATCTGTTAGATAATTTGTTGGTTTAGCCAATATTTTACTTTAATTAATACGTCCGTATTAATGCGTGTTCAGTGTTAACGGTTGTCATACTACATTAAGTCATAAAATGAAACGACGTAACCCCGCAGAGGTTTTATAGGCCACGACATAGAGCGACTAAAGCGACTTAGTTTTAGTACTAATTTGGTCTTATTTTTTTTTATTTTTTTTTAAGTCGAATGGGGCGGACTTTAATACATATAAATGCGTTCACAGTGTATGTAAACATCTTAACAAAAACTGAATATTCCTAACACTAACAAAGTAACAGTTGGCCCAATTCCGAGATGTTCACTATCTGTATACTCATCTTAAAAGTAAGTTTATCTGTTTCCTCCTTAATAAATGAAATGAGACAAGACCACTTTAGCACTGTCAAACTAAATAGTGTAAATTGCGCATTAATGAATGTTTTCGCTGGTTGGATGAAAATCCTTTTAGCGAGATGTAAGAAAAGGGAGCACGTTTTGAAACAACTTGAGAAGATTCTGATATACCGGATATCGAATGCAACATTAATTTAAAACCAGGGAAAGATGAGAATATGGTAATAAAGACATCTATATTAACCAAATTCATAACACTTGGCTTAAAATCTGTCACCGGCACTGTTGCCTCATGTCATTTCCCTCCTACTCGAAGCATGACAGCAGCTTGACTGGCACTGACAGAAATACTGAAATAGAGAGTAGCCCTGCTGAATCACCAAGCATAGTTCCAAACCAAAAAAAAGACTAGAATTTATTTACCCGATTGCTTCTTGAATTCTAACTAGGATATTGTTTACTCTGTATCGATAAAAATCTTTAATGAGCCTTTTTAAAGCTCCTAGCTGGCACTTACTTTTTGACTAGGATCTTCCCTGACTTGTCTGCCTTGAGGACAATCTTCGTGTGCAGCTTCTCCAGGAACTTGATGGTGGGGTTATTGAGCTGGTTGAGGTTGTACGCCAGCGCAAACAGCTCCTCCGTCCACATCTGGGAAAGAAGGAATATGTTTCACACAAATTCGTAAAAAAAAACAATGAATCAATAGGGAATATGCATCGATTTCAAAAGTTAATAAATGTACAAATAAACACTTTAGTTAAATCATAGAATTTCTGAAAAACTAGTGATTGAAATCGGACTGGAAACAAAAAATACAAGTGTTTAAACTTTGTATGAAAATAGCTGAGCTGAGCGTGGCGTCAAATGTCACCCGCCCATAGTAACTTGCACAGTAACTTGTATGGGACTCTGCGTGTCGTTCTAACATGACCAATGACGTCATGAGATCTCTTACGTCTATATCTTAGATATCTTTTGAATTTTTTGTTAAAGAAAAGCACTGATTCATTTGAATTATCAAATTGGCATTAACCAAGGCTACTGAAAGAAATGTGAGAAATAAAAAAATTGCATAATATTCCCTATTGTCTTCAGAAAGTCCAGGAAAAGGAATATTTCCTGTTATGAGTAAAATAATAAAAGATTGACTAATCGTCTAACAATTTAATTAATACCTTGACGTTCTCAAGAGTAGCCTCGACTGCGAACAATAGTTTTCTATTGTAACTCCTTCTAGAATGTCTAAATATTAAACATTTATTACACGCACTTTGCATTAGCGATGACGTCAGTATGGCCAAGCTTTGGAAATGTTGAGCATTTGTACATTTTAACGCCGTCGCATCAAATTGGAAAGAGTCCAAGTGTTTCCATATTCATCCATACATATTTCGTCGGCCGTTTGGTGTAGTGGTTTAGAACGGACTACTATGACGAGAGGTCCCGGGTTCGATTCCCGGCCGGGCAGAAATTGAAATGATGAATTTTAATTTCTGTGACGGGTCTGGGTGTGACTAGAGATGTGCCGCTGAGAAAGTTCTCGTTCCCGGCAATATTCCCAGTGAGAATATTCTCGAGAACCGAGAACGCTCCCGGGAATATTCTCAGTGTTCTCGACAGAACCCATTTAGTTTTATTTTTAATTTTGTTGTTTATATGTGATATTATTTGTAATGTTTCGATGTTTTATTAACTGGGCGTTAAGACTAGTTGTTATAAACAAGGCATGAAACGAGTGAGTGAGATATTGCTGTCTTGCTCACTCTTTTCGTGGCGAACGCGTACCGCGGCTTTAGGACTCGGCTACGGTATTTGAACATCAGTGTGCCTCTGAGTTTTAAGGCCCTTGCCACCCTGGCGGATTGCAAGCGGATTCAAAGTGGATTTAAAGCGGAGTGGCGACGCGACGGAGAAACCGCGTGAAAATATCGTAAAGCTCTCCAAAGGCTGCCCAGCCGAGCTGGATTCGATGATTGACCTTTTTTTCGAAGTTGGACCTACCTAACTGGACTGTTTGTCCCAGGTATACATTATTGTTAACAACCTAAAAAGGAGGAGGTTCTCAATTCGACCCGTATGTTTTTTTTTTTTTTTTTTCTATGTTTGTTACGCGATAACTCCGCCAATTATGAACCGATTTGAACAAATCTTTTTTCAGCGTATAGGTAATACCTCAAGGGTGGTCCCATTTAAATTTAATATTAAAAAAAAACAACCCCCAAGGGTGGAAAATTGGGGATGAACTTTTTTATACGCAATATCTCCGCCGATTATGAACCAAAAATTTCTGCCATCTTACATATCATTAAAACGACATTTCACGACGAAAAAAATAAAATATAATTAAGGTGCAGTTGCCAAGAATATTGCCGAGAAAGTTCCCGAGAATATTCTCGGGAACACTGAGAATATAGCCTTTCACTGCAAATAGAGTGTATTGTTTAATATACACTTATCTGTTGACTTCATTTAATACTATTTTACTTAAGAAAGTTTGTTTATTTTCATTTGATAAACATGATTCTCAACCTTTCTCACTTGGGAGAACGCTCCCGGGAACGCTCCCGAGAATATTCTCAGTTGAAAGAGCGTTCTCGGGAACGGCACATCAATAGGTGTGACTATGTATAATATTTATGTATTTAAAAAAAAAAGTATATAAGTAGTATATCCGTTAAACTAGCACCCATAACACAAGCATTAAGTTGCTTACTTTGGGGCTAGCTGGCGCTGTGCGAAATTGTCCAAAGATTTATTTATTTATTTATTTATTTATATTTTTTATTCCGAATGGCCGTTTACAGTTCGCGGGCGTGATGAATGAAGAACAACATTATTTATTACAGTAAGTGCTCGACCTTAGTCATTCAGTATTTTAGTAGATACGCAGTAGCGGCGGTCCGCCCCGGGTGCCAAGCATCAGGGGGTGACACAAGTCGCGCAGATTAGTACTCACTGGCATATCTGCATGGCAAATCTGCGGTCTATGTCATGATACGGGTGGGTGGGGGGTATGATTGTCTTTCAATCTTCGAATCGGTAGGTAACCTCAAAGCCCTGGGGGGTACCAGGGGGTGCCATAGGAGTTGTGACGGGGGGGGGGGGGGCAAACAAACAAACAAACAAACAAACAAACAAACAAACAAACTCTTCAGCTTTATAATATTAGTATAGATTAGTATAGATAGTATAGATTTATTACACGCACTTTGCATTAGCGATGACGTCAGTATGGCCAAGCTTTGGGAATGTTGAGCATTTGTACATTTTAAAACGCCGTCGCATCAAATTGGAAAGAGTCCAAGTGTTTCCATATTTTTTATTCCGAATGGCCGTTTACAGTTCGCGGGCGTGATGAATGAAGAACAACATTATTTATTACAGTAAGTGCTCGACCTTAGTCATTCAGTATTTTAGTAGATACGACACTGCCAGTGGGCGAATTTCAATGAATTGAGTGCGCTTTGTAAAATGCAGTTTTTGCTGTTATGAGAATTTACCGCGATTTCATAATGGTGTTGAAGATAAATCTGAAACGAGTTGAACGAACTTTCGTCTATATTTAACAGAGGCGAAAATGATTATACGGGACAATATACGGTGAAATATATTCAATTGGTTACAGTAAATCCTAAACTTTATTGTATCTGGATGCTGTCGCTCAATTACTGAACATGTTCTAAAATAACCTGTAAGATAAAATGCTTTTAAGTCGAACCGGTACGGCCATCTATAAAAGTGAAGTCTCGAACTTTAAGTTCCATCAATTGTGACGTAACCTCGATATTTCTTGGCAAAGAAGGTACTTCGAAGTACAACGCTTGGCTCGAGCCAGGAAGTTTTAAGTTTAATCTGACAGAGTAACGAAGTGGCGCGTCTATCTCCGCGAACGACTACCGTCATAAGGGTGGCCAGGAGAGCTGATTAAAAAGGAATTCATTTTCAAGGTATAACATTACAGAATATCATTACAAGAATCAGGTGTTACCTTTACTTCAATCCATCATTTAGTATTATATTAAGTCAAAACTAGTAAATCACCTACACTACATATTCCTTAGAAGAATTCCTTAGTAGTCTATGGGTGAGTGAATCGAGGAAGACAATACAGTTATAGAAATAGTCGGTCATTGCGCGCTCTTTATCTGGCTCATTACCTGAATGGATAATGTCCCGGTTTTTCATTTTTACGTGTGAAAACCCTAACCGTAATGGACGTGAATCGATAATTGAGATCTATCTGAACCTACGCTAAGGGTGGAATCTGCCATAACGCTAACGAAACGCTAAAACCGTGGCCAATGTATTGAAATGGGTCACACTAATTCGTTGTATTGTTTTAAACTCTTCCGTTGTCAATTCCAACTTGCAATGTTTGATTTTAATAACTAAAACATTTCGCTTAGTTTGTTTTCAGCTTTGTTTAGGAGTTGTTGGGTTACGGTTGAATTAATAGTTGGCTACGCAAAAATTATTAGCAAACACGTGCGACTCGCTAAAAGTTCTCTGTAAATCGTGAATGAAGATTTATTTTCGGATATTCTAGCAACTATTACACTTTTTCATTCGTTCATTGATATTAGTTTTAGAATTTTAAATTCGTTCTTAATTTAGCTTCGATATCGTCGATTAGGAACTATTTTGTGTCCTAAAATTCAAGTCGATTGCGAATGTTACCATGTCTAGCTAGGTGTGAATTTCTGGCACCTATACTATGTAGAGTCACAAAAACATTTCCTTGACCAATACACACTACAAGATAAGCATCTAAGTCAGAAATGCACGGGATTTTGAAGAATACAAATACGAATGAACGAGCTTGACATTTCTAGTGGAGATGGGAACTGCAGTCTTGACATACACTTTTCCTCCATAAACTTTACTAGCTGTGCCCGCGAATTCGTACGCGAAAATATAGTTTAATATTAATTGCCGTTCACTGACCGGTAGATCCTGATATTAGCGCGTTCAAGCAAACAAACTCCTCAGCTTTATAATATTAGTATAGATTCATTTATCACAACCAAAGCACGACCAAAGCAAGCATTGCTCTATAATAAAGCCTGGTCCGTGAGCACGTAGAATTTTGTCCAATGACCCCAAGCTACCCATCCTTATCGCTCGCGCGGAATTATATTGCTGTCGCGACTGTGCGACTGTGCGTCATTGGACAAAATTTTACGTGCTCACGGACCAGGCTTTAGCTTTACTATCTCTGAAAAGGAAATGTACATCAGTTTTCTTTATTGGTGTAAAGAAGAGAAGGCCAGTATTGAACATAAACAAACAAGGATGATTTCACAGAGTTGATTTAAATCAAAATACAGAATTCAATTTAAATCAAGAGTTAGAAAAATAAAGAGGTCCATAAATATAAAGGGTGATGTATAATTAATCCAGTCACACACTTACTTAACGAATTTCATGAAAACGACTTATGTTTGATCAAAAAAGGTTTAACTGTTTGTATTTTATATTTTTAGCAATTTACATGACCCGAATAACCAAAGAATTTTCATGTTACAACGAGCTTTTTTCTAGAGCTTTATAAAAGCTGTTTCGATAAAACAAACGAATTTCCACGAAAAGTGTTACATACAAAATTCATTTATGAAAGCCAACATTATGTTGCTTCGCGTACCAAAATT